GTAATTTCTCCGTAAAAAGGAGAAATCTTCCACTGTCACAAAAAGACATGAAAAGTTCAGGTGCATACGGATTGGAAAGTTACAGTCTAAAAATGTCCTATTGTGCTCTGAAATTACGCTGGATGGAAAAGTTAAAAGCTTTTGTTAAATGCCAAACACAACTGTCTGCGATGAAAAGATGGGGGAAGAGGGAAGTGGTAAAACAATGTGTTTCGATTCACTTCCCAAGCTTTGAATAACCTTTTCTAAGTGCCTTTTTTTCTATATAGGAGATTCACTCTATATTCTGCATCATTTAATGCAAATGCTCTTTTACAGCAGAAAAAAAGAGCCTATAATGATGATAATAATGGCAATTGTAGAGCTTGTTCAATGTTCAACGCCATTATTTACTCTTCCAAAACATTCTGGCCTTTCTCCTTTAAACTTTTAAATAGGGCTTTCCTGTATTTCTTTCCTATGGCTGATGAAAGGGAGCAACTTAAAAGTTTTCCAGCGTCTCCATTTTGGGGAAGGTTGTTTGGACCTGAGAGCTTGCAGTCAAGAGCAAAATGTGTTTCACCTGCAAAGGAGGTGTGAACAAGGGCAGGAAGAATGGACAGCATGCATTTTGAGCTGTGAAAAGCCCTTAAGGAGAAAAATAAAGCGACCCAGCAAAAGGGCTGTGTCTTTTTGAAGGAAGACTAAGAAGTGTTCGAGAAACACTCAGATGTAACTCTCTTCTCTGCTTCGCGGGCTGATGCTAAAAGCAAAGACGAGCGCCCGGCGTGCCAAGAGGCTTATTGGAGGGAAAATAACCGCAGAACAACCGGAGGATAGTGCATAGTCCTTACCCTGAATGATTCCTCTGTGGAACACACACACCTGCACATATTTAAGCAGCCTCTATGTACATGTGTGAACGCAAGCATTACATGGAGACGCACATCCACGTCTTGAAGCGAAGGTTTAATCAGCCGTAGATGAAAAGGAAAATGCCATTAGATTTTAAAGTGGATAATTTCACATTCTTCTCTCCACTCATTTCTTCATTTTTCTTTTCAAGCTAGCCTTTTATGCCCGATACATGTGCTTTTATGGAAAATTACGACATTTAATCGAGACTCTTTGGTCAGAGATAATTGCGCTTAGAACCATTAGCGGCCGTCCAAGACGATGTACTTCTTTTTTTTTTTTTATATATCTTTTTACAGCGATGTTCCCTATCTGTGAGAACATGCTTCACACAAGGAGGATAATCATAATTTAATTATCTGCCATTATGGGGAGCAAAACGCAGGTCTCCTCGGGTTAACATATGCTGCGTGTTGTTAGAAACAAATCAGTTAAATAAATTTCGCTAAACAAACCAGGCTGTCATATACACTCTCCACAGTGTCGCCAAAGGTGTGTTGTTGATTTTTTTTTTCCTTCTTTCTTTTCCTGCAAATGTTACTCAAAGCAATTATAATCATAGTGAAAGTTTTCTGGGGCACTCCTGCTCCTCACCTGCTAACCCACCCACTGATCAGTAAATTGGCACCTCATTGAGATCAGCAGGTGTACATTTGCCCTAAATTTTTTGACCACAATGAGATTTTTCCTCACACTGGATCTCATTACAATTATCCACTCATACTAGGTTAATCCTTGCAGTAGACCGTTGATTTATTAGTTCTTCTTTTCACAGTATTTTTTTTCTGTTTCAGTTAATCAATGTTAAATAGGAAATGTTAAAATTTACTGTAACATTTATTTTGGAAGGTACTTTTCAGTTAAAATATCAAAAATTCTCAGTGGTGGATTGACATGCTGCAAGGTCATGTGACTCTTGTGCTTATTAAAACCAAGCAAACAGATAAGTGTGAAGTAAAGATGAGAATCAGATGCTCAAAGTCTGGAAAAAGCTTTTTACAAACAGAAGCATTTTAGCATCATGGGGTCCTATTAACGAGTGACTGTGAGATGGAGCAGGAGGTGGACAGAATCATTGGGGTCTCGATTGCCTTAATGCGTCTGTTTTTCAGATAAAAACTGGTAAAATCAAGGGGTTTGCTCTTGTGCTCTTCAATGCCTCAGAGTAAAGCCATTGCCTCACCACTTTTCTAAAAACAAATTTTCCCTCTTTATTATGCCCTCTAGAAATTGATAAGCAATAATAATACCTATCTGTCTCTGCAATTGTACATTACAAAAAATGTTCCCTGCATCTAACTCTTAGGGTACAGGGAGCACCTGGCAGTGCCCAGGCAGAGTTGTGTTATTAAAGGTCTTACTCAGGGACCCAGACTGACAGTCTGAAGGGTGGAAGAAGTGATCTTGCAGCGTCTCCAGAAGGCGTATACCTTGCTTTCTCACCTCTAAGCAACCCCTCACCACACACTTACACATACACTCCAGATGTGCCAGCTGCCTTGAAAATAAAGTAATTTGCAGCTAAGAGAACACTTTTAATTCCTCATAGCATATTTTTTTATTGTTTTTATTTCTTTCTAAAACAGAATTTAAACAGTTAAAAAATCCAAACAAAGATGTGTCTTCCAGCAGGCGCAAATCTTAGACACCCTTTCTCCTTATATTAAGTCATACCCCCTTTAGCTGAAACACATCAGCGATAAGCTGTCGACCATCAAATGCTTTCTCCACACCTCACTCTAGCTGTTAAATGTTTGAGGGCTTCATGGATGTTTATGATTTTCAAATTCGCCTCGTAACATCTCAATGAGTGAAGAAGTGAGCTTTAACTGAACCCAGGATTTTTTTTTTTCATTCTCTGCATGTATTTGGTGGATTTGACTGATTCTAAGTTTTATTTTGCATGGTATAGAATTCTTTCAGCTTTTTATTTTTTCTTACAAATAGTTCCACATCTCACCCCCGAAAAATTCACTTTTAAACGGGACAAAATTCATGGTTTCTATGATGGTGAGCTGACAACATCCTGCTTTAGCAAGGCATCGCCCAGCCATTGCACTTTGACCTTCATGATGGATTAATAATGATACGATAAAAATATATGCATTATTTATTAATGCATATACGTTAATAAAATGTGTCCTCTGCATTCACTCCATTTCTTTGGTAGCAGTGGTCTGCCAGTGTGTACCACCTGGCAAGCACTCAGAGACCAATAGTGGCAGTCTGAGGAACTCAACCAGGAAGCTTGGAGACTTTTTGGAACACTAGTTCCTTGATTTAACAACCAGGCCACTGCTCCCCCGACAATGTTGGTATTTCTTGTTGGATTCTGCCTTTAGTTAATGGCAAACATGTAATTTTATAGTCTCACTTGTCCAAATGATATTAATACAGAAGTTCTCTTTTTTCTCTGTTCTCTCCGGCAAACTTTAGGTAGGTGTTGTTGAAGCTTTACTTCCAGACTTGATTATACAGGCATTCAATTTCATCAATAGTAACCTAACAACAACTTACTGTGTGTCCCGTGAGTTTTGGAAGAGTTGTATCAGCAGCTTGTAGATGCTTCTAAGTTGAACTTGCGGGTGTGAATTCCTGGGAATGAAATTTAGCTCAACAGTCAAGATGTCCAGATTAAATATCTGAGGTTTAAAGATCTGGAAGAGAATGGGTGGCCTGTTAAGTCAAGTCAGCAATAAATTTGTTCATCTTGTTGTAATATTAACATTCTTATTTAGTTTTTTTTTATGCGGATTGATGATAATTAACACCATCTATGAATATTAATACTATTATTATAATACTTAGACAAACTTTATTGTAATTTTCTTTGCACAGAGTGTATGCAAAATTATATTTCATTGCATACAGTTTACAAAAGCGTATTAGCGGATATTGCCGTTGGACTAAGATAAACATTACCGATATAAAGTGCAGCAGTGATCAGAATGTAAACAATATAGGAGAGAAAGAAACCACTTTAAAATAATGCTGCAAAAGTGCCTTTATGTGAAATAGTTCAGTGCAGTGGAAAATACATATGGTGTAAAATGCAGGAGAACATTGAGCTATGTGCTGTTTAAAAAGATTATAAAAATCTAGAAACCTTAGTAGTGCTATTATGCTCGATAATCAATTGCATTGCATTGCACACCGGCCTTATATTATTTGTTCCTTCAAAGTTAATGAATTGAACTCAATTCATTGAATATCAACAAGAGGGTGTAATGTCACTTTCCGCCTGAAGCCCTGGCGGTGGCGCTGTGTCCGCTTCCCACTTCTTCTGCGTTTCCTGTCTGCTTCATCAACAACAAACATAGCAGGAGCTCTACATTTACTCAAAATCTGTTCAAATAGGATTTTATTCTTCTCACATTTTCACTTACTTTGGGTTTTCTAAGAGAAATGAAGCTGAATACCTCCGTTTAGACGGAGTCGGGTGAAGAGGTTCGGGAAACTAATTCACTAATGGTAAGTTTTATCGAAGTTAAACCGTCCTGTATTTTAAGACATCTGAACCAGGTATAACACAAAACGCACTAATGAATCAGGCCACGCATGCCTGTATCAACCCATACTAATATATGAAAAAAAAAAAAAAAATGAAAATGTCTGTGAAAAATATCGACGCGCCAAATCATCAGCCTATATCAAATGTTCAGTGGGTTTCAGGTGTGTTTCCAGTTCATCTTTAACCTTTGGATTTTAAATCCCCATCAGGATTTTTCCAAAAGGTTTAAAGATTTATTGTTCTTAGTGTATGTAAACTTTTGATTCTGACCAAAAGAATTCATCTGAAATTATTTTAGTAATCATAACATAAAAAGTTAAAATGTCCATCTGGTTTGATTGGAGATGGAAATAAGAAAAGGCTTGTCTTGTTATGCAAGTTTACACACACACATATATATATATATATATATATATATATATATATATATATATGAGGTTTTAAATGTCTTTCTTTCCTATTTATCTCTTTTCTTTGCTTTCCTTCCTTCTCATCTGTCCACATCAGCTGAGACGATGAGAAATCATTGTTTTTATGCCTCCCACATGTACCAAAGCGACTGAAGCATGTTTAGGACGCTCCCCTGATCACTGCGATGGACGAGGACACTCCAACTTTGAAGCCCAGACGGATCCAGAATCAGAACGTGGTCCATCGCCTGGAGCGGCGAAGAATTTGCTCGGGGCGACCCGGATCTCACTGGTACCGAGTGCGCTGCTTTCACCAGAACCTGTTCCCTAACTTCACTGTGGTGAACGTGGAGAAGCCGCCTTGCTTCCTCAGGAAGTTCTCACCGGATGGGCGCTACTTCATCGCCTTCTCCTCCGACCAGACGTCCCTAGAGGTAACAAGAGATGCCCTGCACCTGAATCACGCTGACGCTGATTCCATGCATTGGGATTGAAACTTTTCTGCTGTCTAAATTTTCTGTCAGATATATGAATACCAAGGCTGTCAGGCAGCTCAGGACCTGCTGAGAGGCCAAGAAGGAGAGACTCTTTCAACAGCCAATGACCAGCGCTCCCTCAACATCCGGGGCCGCCTGTTTGAGCGCTTCTTCTCTTTGCTTCACGTCACTAATGTGGCCTCAAACGGAGAACACCTCAACCGGGAGTGCAGCCTCTTCACAGACGACTGTAGATATGTCATTGTCGGCTCGGCCGTTTACGTTCCCGATGATCCTCCGCCGTACTTCTTTGAGGTAGGGACCTCCAGTCGAAGTAAAAAAAAAACAGCTCAGTGCGGATTATCCATTTATCCCTTCCTTCCACCAGGTTTATCGCAACAACGAATCGGTGACCCCAAACCCTAGGTCTCCTCTGGAAGACTACTCTCTCCACATCATCGACCTCCACACCGGCAGGCTGTGTGACACCAGGTCCTTTAAGTGTGACAAGATCATCCTGTCTCACAACCAGGGACTCTACCTCTACCGGAACATCCTGGCTGTGTTATCAGTCCAGCAGCAGACCATCCACGTGTTTCAGGTTTGACCTCCCAGAGTTATTTCCACAACATATTTTTGATCTTTTCGGCAACTGTGCTTCATATTTAGCTTGTATAGTTTGCTTTTGATCCACAGTGAAAAAAATCACCTAATTGTGAGCAAATTTGTCTTAAAAGTAAGCAAATTTGTCCTTTATTAGAGCAGGTAAATAAGATGATCTGATAAAAGGAAAGAGTGTTTTTCCCTTTCAAATAATGAAATAGATTATTGGAGCTGTTTTTTTCTTTTTCAAAATGTAAATCATCTTATTCTGTTTGCAAAAATGTTCTGTTACCTACTGAAACTTAACAAAAAGACTTATTTTAAGGAATATCAAAAATGCTTACCGTATATTTCAGATTCATTTAGGACAAGTTTTTGCCTCACATAACACTTTACACTACTTTGACTGTTTAGTTTTTTTTTAGCATACTACATCCTGCACCTTTAATGTTTTTTTGTTCAAGAATTTGTATGACAACCAACAAAAATCTGAAAAGTGTGGCAGGAATTTAATTTGTCCTCTGAAGTTAGCCAATGAAAAAACTAACGTTCCACCCTGTGAGTGCTCTAATCTCAGGCAGAGTTGGGTAGTAACTAGTTACAACGTTTACTTAGTTACATTTACTTGAGTAACCTTTTGAAAAAGTGTACTTTTAGGACTATTTTTCTCTCATTGTCTTTTTTACTCTGACTTGAGTGAAATTTCTGGTGTTTCCATCCATTGTGAGTAACTGTACTTAAAGGTATAGGGGAGGATGTTATTTTTCGGGGTGTATCATCAAAATAAGTGGTCCTCCTAATTGTCAATCTTTCTGGTGATATGTTTACGTAAGGCCGTCCTAAGTGCTCGTCCCTCCTCTTTTTCTGCACATGCTCTCTTTCAGGTGTATATGTGTCGTGAGCTACTGTTTCAGCCAGTCATTAATGTTTGCCTTTTTCACCGCAGTGGAAAAATAGCAAATATTAGAAAGAAAGATTATGTGAGCGATGCAAACAGCAACTTTTAAACAGAGCACACGCGTGTAATAGGCGTTCTCTCTCGGGAGCGATTACAGGGTTGTGCATCCTTGTGCAAGTGGAGAGGGCGGGTCTTTGAAAAAATTAGGAAAATCCTCCACTATACCTTGTAATGAAAACAAGCTTGTTTAAAAAAAAAAAAAACAAAAAAAAACATGCACCACTGAGAGAAACATTTTCTTCTTTTATGTTCTTAAAGCTTATTGGTTAAATGTTATTTTCCATCTGCTGAGTCTGTCGTCTCATTTGGAGATGAAGTGAAATAATACAGTAAACAGTTTTCTGTAATTTAACTTATTCTACATACTGTAACAATTGATTTTGTAAATTTTATAACTCAGAAAATACTAAATCTTTTATATAAATATGGGTACTAAGTAGATCAGTTACACAGTACTTGACTCACCTTTTTATCAAATGTCTTTTTACTCTTATGTGAGTAATTTGTTGAAAAGCTACTTTTTATTTTTACTTTAGTAATAATATGATGAAGTAGTGCTACCTTTTCTAAAGTACAATGTTTGGGTACTCAGGGTCCGTTATAGAAATTTTGAAATCAGACCTGAGAACCAGAGCAGATCTGTTGGGGTGGAAGTTGTGAAGAAGCTTAAAGCAGGGTTTGCTTCTAAGAAAATATCCAAAATATTAAACCTCCCACTGAGCTCTGTAGCACAGCAGTAAATCTACCAACTTCTGAAAACGAAAGAATCAGCGTGTTGAAGTGGCCTAGTCAAAGTCCAGACGTCTTGGATGACATTTGGCCTGGAATGTTAATAAAGCTTCACAGTGATGGATGTCTTCAAAGCCAAATGGAGCTTTAAAGGAAAAGTCTGGTCAGCAAGGAATAACCAATGGATCATTATTTATACCTAAAACTATGTTTGCGGTGATTTAATGCGTAATAATTCAGCGTTAATCAGTAAAAAAATAAAAACAATTTTCTTTTCATTAAGTCTGAAAATGCCCATTTATGCCCAAATATACTAACGCCTCACTCCTAACATCTTCCGGTCGCGACGTCACGGTGCAGTAAGCCTAGCGCCATTCTTCCCGCTTTACAAGCAAAATCAATGGGAACTACTAGACACGTCTGCAATCAACAACAATTTTTTAAGATTTCGAGAAGACTTAGCCATTGAAATTCGCAAGAGCTATAATTAAACTGACAATGCCAACATGCATGGCAGTTAGATGTTGTAATATATTGGGTAAAAGGGAAAAAAAAAATGTTTTCACTTTTCCGATTTATGATCCTCCACGGACAGGTTAGTGCAGTCCTGTTAGTTGGACTGGCAACTCGAAGAGGGAGGATTTGCCATCGAACTTCTGGCCAGAGAAAAAAACATGTAATATGTAGCCAACATTTGGAAGAAGGCTCAACAGCCGATACCGCACCGTGACATCACACACCGGTAGGTGGCAGTAGTGCTCTTTGACAAACATGGATGTCTCCGGTAAAGCACAGTCAAATTAAATTACTCTTAATTAAAAACACTTATCATTTATTGAACAGTATGTACCGGTAATAGTTTCAAATTTAAAGTACTTTCAGAAGTTTGAATTCTGAATATAACCGGACTTAAACATAAGTGGCTCAAACAGACCACAGGGATTCACTGAGACACTTTCCATTGAGTTTTCTATCTCTGTTTTTTTATGTTCTATTCTTTAGATAAAGTTTGAAGTCGTTTTAGTTCCTTGACCTGCTTCCTTTTGTTGCTCTTCTACCACTGCAACCTTAGGTCACACCTGAAGGGACCTTTCTGGACGTGAGAACGATCGGCCGCTTCTGCTACGAGGACGACCTCCTGACGCTCTCGGCCGTTTATACGGAAGCTCAGGCAGAGAGTCAGACCGGGGTCCCTCGCCTCTACACCGACAAAACCATTAACTCCCTCAAGCACAGGTTGCTGGTCTACCTGTGGAGGAGAGCCGAGCAGGACGGCAGCGCCACGGCCAAGAGGAGGTAAACTCCATAAGTCCACCAGGACTGAACCTCCTTGCTTGTCAGAATTAAAAAGCTGCTGATGCTAACGGGTCATGTTGCTGTTAACAATATTGTCCTTATTAAATCTATTTGTTAGTGATAATTACGCTTCTAATTGTAAAATATTTAGTGCCTGTTTGGTGATCTGAACAAGCTCAAAGATCCCATTACTCATTCTGGTTTCACCTGATGTGGCTGAAGACCGTTAAGTTTTAACCTAAATTTTCCGGTTAGGTTTTTCCAGTTTTTCGATCAACTCAGACGTCTGAGGATGTGGAAGATGCAGCTGCTGGACGAGCATCACCTCTTCATTAAATACACGAGTGAAGACGTGGTCACGCTGAGAGTCACCGACCCGTCGCAGGTACGAACCAAACACAAACACACACACGTGAACGGATCTCTGGCTTCTCTCGGAGTAAATTCCTCCTCCTAACCTCTTTGTTGTGCTGCCCTGGTTTCCTTGGATGGCAAGAATTCCCTTTCCAGGTTTCCAAGGACACGATTGTCAAACAGATTCTGCTCTGACTTGTGATTCGGTTGTCACAGAAATATGGGGACTTAATTAATCCTCGGTTTATTTCATTGATGTTGCTGAGGTCTGAGCAAATAAGTTTGTTGCATGTAGAGATTTAATGTTGTTTTAGTCACACATTGATGTCCTAATTAATTCTTCTAAACAAAGGGCAACACATTTTCCAAACCTCTTTGTTTCTCCTTTAACCATTGTTTTTTTTGGTTTAGATGGGTGGATGGATTTGTTTTTTGTGCACATTTATATATTCTATTGTCCACATATACAAATTAAATCCCACAAATAATTGTCTGTCTGTCTCTCTCTGCCAGCCGTCGTTTTTCGTTGTGTACAACATGGTGTCCACCGAGGTTCTGGCTGTCTTTGAGAACACCTCTGACCCGCTGCTTGAGCTCTTCGAGAACTTCTGTGACCTTTTCAGGAACGCCACCCTGCACAGCCAGGCTGTCCAATTTCCCTGTTCTGCTTCGTCCAACAACTACGCACGCCAGGTCCAAAGAAGGTATCCAATCTCGGAGCAGAAACTTTGTGTGACGAAAGGCTCTGGTTTTAATTGAGAGATAAGAACGGACATGATGTCACACAGGTAGGCATCATGAGGGGATAAAGATGCTACAGATCAGCCTGGAGGAGTAAAAGCAGAGGGAGGAAGGTGTTATAGGCCATAAACTGGACATTAAGATGTGGCTACAGGGAGCTGTGATTAAATTTCACTTGTGCTGGTGACAAAATCCTCTATTTAAGGTGAAGCAGAGAGATGAAACCTGGGCTAAGGAGCTAGAGGAACAGGGCATTGAACTGGAAGGAAGAAGATACTGGAAGCAAGACTGATTTAGAGCAGCAGCAAAGTCTGATTTGGGCAAATATCAGTCCAGAAGCAGAACTCAGACTGGAGGACTGAAAGTCCAAAGTATAGAGGTTGAGATAAAAAGAATGAACGACGAAGTGGAGATTATGGAGTCCCTGCTGACTGCTGGAGATGAGCTGAAAGAATAAGAATCATCTTTTTATAGATGAATGGCTAGAGAGATGAGCCAAGTTAAAATCAAAGTATTATGACGAGGCACTAATGTTATTAAGTTTATTCAGATCAATCAGTATCAGAAATTTGGCTCCTCACAAAAACAAAAGAAAGTAGAGAAACAAACAATGTGCTGATATGCTTCCCTGTCTGACCTCCCCAGGTTTAAAGACACTATCGTGAACGCCAAATACGGCGGCCACACCGAAGCGGTGCGGCGCCTGCTCGGTCAGCTCCCCATCAGCGCCCAGTCATACAGCAGCAGCCCTTACCTCGACCTGTCGCTCTTCTCCTACGATGACAAGTGGGTGTCAGTGATGGAGAGGCCAAAGACCTGCGGAGACCACCCCATCAGGTACGCTCTCCAATCAGGCAGAGCGGCGTCCTTAACGCCGCAGCACTGATGAAACCCGAGACACTTTAACAGGTCTTTACATAAAATGGAGAATTTGGTCAAATGTCTGTAACTGATGTATCTATGGTTTTTAAAAATGCAGAGAAAATAAGGATCTTTATTTCAGAGGAGGTTTAGTTTCAACAAGCAAAGATAAATTCATGGTTTATTTCATTACCAAAAAAAATAACATTTTCAAAAAAGCCAGGCTTAAATTTGAATAAATCCAAAGGAATAATTACTTTATGAAATCATCAGTACCGCATGTAAAGGAACCTTCGTGGTTAATAAAACTACTGGTACAGTGCGCATCCCTCATGCTTCTATAAGACTCCAGGTTTAGATTTAGGAAACGTGGAAAGAAAGTTGATTTTTGCACACTTTTTTATGAATTTCTTCTTCTTTTTAAAAAAAAAATCAGAATTATAAAATATATTATAGCACTGATAATTTAAAAATTATCGATGCAATGTATTAGAAAGTCCCAGAAGACATCCTTTGATGTTTAAGGGAGGAGAAATCCCAAAGCATCACTGATCCTTCTCTGTACCTAAAGATTCAGCAGGTAACTTTGTAGAAACGTATATTTTATGCATTGTTCAAAAAGGTCTTGATAGTAGAATATGAGACAGATGATCAGTAAAACTGTAGTTCCTCCCAGTGGTTTTACTGCCATTCATAAAAATACTCAGCTCAGAAACAAGTACGTAATCAGAGCCAAGAGGAATGCTACAGCAGTGTGTACACACTGATCACACCCCTCCCCTGCATGGCGGCCATCGTTGTTCGAGCTCAAGACGATCAGTATACTGCAGTTGTGTTGATTTTGGAGAAAGAAACTAATGTTGCTAAAATATCTAAAATTCCTCAGTTTAGGAATCTCTGACCTCACAGGTCACCGTATGGATTTATGTTCTTAAAAAATGTAGAAAAAGATCATCTCCACTCTACCTTCTTAACAGCGCTCTTCCAGACCCTGACCATACACACAACTGTTCTTGTACGCGCTTGGAGATAGAAAATTCAAGCAGCAAGATGCCCCAAGAGAACAAAATGCTGTTGTTTTAAATAAGAAATGCCTTAATGCACAATAATTAGCGTTATTAGGCAGCTCCTGCATTAATAAGATAGTAACAGGTCAATTATTAATCGATCAGCAAATTAATTAAAAATGTATGTTTTACTTAATCAATTCATTAATGGCTTCAGCCCTAGTTTAAAGTAGAGGAACAAGACAAAATATCAACTGAAACCAATCAGGGATCATAATTTACTTGTTTCAAGGAAAGAGAAGAGAAACTCAGAGGGTAGAGAAGGTTTGGTAAGTGATTTCAAATCATCATGGATGTTTGCTCTGGTTTCCTGAGCAGAACTTTCAAAGCTTCACCTTTGTTCTTTGTGATAAAGACAGAAACTAAAAACTAATAACATTCATTTCAGTAAAATCAACAATTTTTCTGTTCCTGCTGCCATTTTGTGTCTGCTTTACTAGTCACTGTTTGATTTTAAAACTATACAATTTCAGCAGAATGAGCTGTGAACAAGCTGTTTTCAGTCAGGCTAGATGGAAACCTGCCCAGATCCACGTTTAACAGAGATCTTCTGCTTCTCCTCCAGGTTTTATGCCAGAGACTCCGGTCTGCTGAAGTTTAAGATCCAGGCGGGCCTGCTGGGTCGGCCCGTTAATCACGCCGTGCGCCGCCTGGTTGCTTTCACTTTTCACCCCTTTGAACCCTTCGCCATCTCCGTTCAACGAACCAATGCCGAGTATGTGGTCAACTTCCACATGAGACACGTCTCAGCATGAAGTAAAGCCGTGTGTAAGGAAAAACTCCAGGGGTTGTGTTCAACTCCTGGCAGAGAAACGTCCATCCTTCTGCTCCTCTCAGGGTTCCTGAACATTTTGAACAAATTTTTGTAAAAATTCTGGACTCATTTTTTTTTTTTTTTTCAGAGCTCTACACGTGGTTTAGATATTTTGTTCTTGGTTCTACAGAATTGAAATATAAAACCAAAAAACAACAGGCCGATGAACGGACGAAAAGGCGGATTAATAGAACTTTTTCCATAATGGGACAAGAATCCAGCCCATGTCATGCAAATATTTTTTCCATGCTCCTTTCCTTTTCCAGACTTGAAAAAATACCCCCAGCCCTTATCCCTTCTGACCCTCCTCCCTTCTCAGCACGCAGCACTTCTGCCTTTTCCCTCTCACCTCCTGTTATTTCTTCCCTCCTCTGCGGAACAAAGAGGCAGCTGATAGAATAAGTGTAAATGGAGACGTGGAGAGTGTGTTGAGGTGAGATCCAGATAGGTTTTTCTTTTTTTATGTTCGCATCTTCAGTCATTTTGATGCTCCAATGTTACTTTTTTTTATTCTGATATTATTTTACTTTTTAATGTTTGATTTTACTTGTTCTACAACCATTAAAGCCCATTTTATTATTCATTTTAGCACCAAAAATGCTTAGCTTGTTTTTCTTGAAAAAAAACCTCCAAAGAATTTTCCAGCTGTACATTTTTTTTCTTTCCATCCTGCATTTAGCTTATCTTGTAAAAGCTGAGCCAAAATCACATTTCAGGTGTCAGTGAATGTAAACCTAACCCTGATCCCTGCAGTCTGTTCTACAGCATATAGGATCATAACACTCCTGTGCTTTACTACCTCCATCTGTTCAACACACAAACCGCCACCTGTTGAGCTCAAATGTATGATTAATGACACACAGACACAAACAGAATCTGCAAATATGCAAATAGCCACAAAGACCCTTGAGCTGCACCGATATGTATAGCAAACACACGAGGGCGGATAGGTGCAGCCGAGCGGGCAGCTGCAGTGAGGTCTGCACTACAGGGGGAAGCAGGTGCAGGAGGGGATTAAGTGTTCCGCTGCCTCTGGTTACGGCGGACATGGCAGGTTCATGTTTGTGTGTCCCACAGACAGAGACCGAGCTGCTCAGTGGAGTAAACGCAGCCTTGCAGATGAAGAGGCCATGTATATCATTAAAGTGTGTTTATGTAAGCTGACGTCTGACGGCAAGCTGTGATAATCAACTAATTATGGGCAGCTTTAACGGTGGGAGCACACGGAGGAGGACACCAGGCACGCCGTCCTCAGCCTCTGTGAACGGCTCACAAATATGCAGGAGTTCCACCAAAATCACCACCGTCTGTTTTCTGCAGGACCTGTCGGCTGACTGAACCAATTAATGTTCCCAGAGAAGAGAGAAGAACCCTGAGAGCCTGTTAAAGGCTTCGTATTAATTTTCCACCTGTTAAAATGTGACTCCGCCTCAAGACCAGAATAAAACTGCATTGTCTTAAAATCTGTATGCAGGCTCATGTGCATCATGCTCTAACCAGACCGACTGGGTAATAAGTGAAACAACTGAAGGCACAAGTACCTATATAGCTGATGTGGCATTCGGCCACATTAGGTATAAAAGTTAATCAGATCAATGCAATGTAGAGCCAAACTGAGAAACAGAAGGAAAATTATGTGGTTTTGATTTATTTTACAAATAAAAACTTGAAAATAATACATTTTCCCGCCTCGTTAAACACCTAATAATAAATAAATCTGGCTTCAGAGGTTTGATAGAGAACATCACCGAACAACCAGCATCATGAACAGCAGGCAGGTTAAGGAGGGAAATCTGGATCAGTTTAAATTACGGTTGGATCCTAATAATCTTACAATCTGAACGTCTTCCACAATTCACTTAAATCTGTCATCTGAACATGAAAAAAGAGGATTGAACACTGCACACCTATGAAGACACAGACGTCCACTTAGACTGTCTGGCTGGACATTAATCAGAGAAGCAGGAAGGAAATCGGAGTAACTCAGTTATGTCCAGGTGTCACAGAGGAGACAGCAAATGTGGAAGAAAGGTTAAATTAAATCTGAATGTACAGAAAGCCAAATATGCCATGGGTTGAGAAGAGAAGTTGGTTAAGTGATTAGAAGAGAATCCTGGAGGAAAACCTGCAGGACATGAAGGACCCAGTAAGATGGTTCCAGGAACATTTCCTGATGTTCACAGATGTTCCCCATCCATTTTATTTTATTTTTTTGGTGTGGCAGTCAGTGAATATGTTCAAGAGCAGCATTCGCTCCGAATAATGAGCGACACACACACGGCTCACATTCACGCCTAATTGATAATGACATTTCATTTGATAACGTCAGATTTTATGCACTTATTACTGCAAACAGTATGACAGACCAGCATGTCTACTAGTACTAATCTGCATGATTCAGACTCATCTACTGGTATTTCTGATGCCAGTTTTGCAGAGATTTTTAAACTAACAACCGAAGACTCAGACAGAAAAAAACATGTTTTTGTGCAAACTGCCCGCCGGGACTTAAACACATTTGTATGTCAGCCATGTCTACTTTAATTTTAAATAGACACATCTAGTTAAATATCTGTGTCTAAATGAGGAATGTAAGAAATCATTTTTGTTCCAGATCTTTTCAGCAGAACCTGACCATTCCTGTATGGTCCTGAAATTCTGAGTAATTTGGCCAAATAAAATGCACATAGAGTATATCTTGACAGCAACATGTATTTTCCATTTCCTTCTAAATAGCTAGTTCTTTTTCATTATGAACTCACAGAACATTGGTGGCAGTAATGTAGAGACGTATTGCAAATGACTGATTAGGATGGCTTTATGAGAGGGGGGCAGGTAGAAATTGAAAGCCACACTTTTCAGATTTATTTTCAGATTTGTTTTTGCTTCTACTTCACATTTTGTGTGTTAGTCTATCACACACTGAAGGTGATCTTTAGCTCTGCAAACATCACTTATGAACAAAATACACAACGCTTAGTTCTTCAAATTCAAAGTTTTCCTCTTCGATCTGCGGAGCCACTCAGGACCCCGTGGGGTCAAAGTTCTCTGGTCATAGGACAGCAAACAAACCGCTCTGCCACCGAAAACAAATCTGTTCCTGTATCCATCTCATTCCTTAGAGCCAGGTACAACTCAAAGCCTTCTCCCTGACCTTCGCTGCCATGGAAACATAACCGCTCTCTCTCCTTTCTAATTGCTGTTGTCTTGGCAACAGCGCAAGCAAAAAAGGCCACAATCCTGGATGTTTCCTGTTGCAACAGCCTCGCAGAAACGAACCACACAAACACACACACTTTGGAGGAACATCAAGCTTTCGCAGCAGAACTGACCCTGAACTACATTTAGTTGTTGTAACTGCAGGCATGGTTGTTTTCTTATAGCATCAAAATTATTTTTTTTTTTATCTTTGTCACTGTTAGAGCTTGTCTGATTTTTGTGCTTGTGCCCTTTGGTGATGACATTTCATTTGTATACACACAAAGGGATTTAGTTCAAGCCTGGCTAGCTGTAAGAAGTAAAAAAAAAAAAACATTTCATTTACTAAAGGGTGTCTAGAAAATTAGCGTTTCCTAGAGCAACACCCTAAACTTCAATATATTTCTTCTCTTTGCTACAGAGAAGCCCACACAAAGATGTTCAGTGGATCATAAAATAAATGGGAATAAGACAAGGTGGTTTAAAAATATCAGCTCTATTTCTCCAGATGAGCTGAGGTTTCAGCAGGGACGTGGAAAGGTTGCAGAGTTCAGCTTATGGAAGGAAACAGTAACATGTTTTACAAGAAAATTTTGGGGAAAATAAACAAACGAACAACAAAAGCAGCTGATTTCAGGTTAGTACAGCCATTCAGAAAGCTGTGAAAGAGTCCTGCAGAAATGACAACTTTCAAACTAATTCTAATCAGCAACAGTTGCCAGATGTTCTTAAATCGCTGTTAGTGAAAGCTACCTCGATTATTTAGTTTCAATCTCTAACGTTATGTTCTTTCTGCTTTTTCTTATAGAAGCTTCATCTGTTCCTGTTTGGCCGTGACACTATCCTGGAGAGAAATATCAGCTGTGATGCTGCCATCAAAACCTTTGTTTATAGATGTTGGAGCTTAGCCTGTTTTTCAGTGTAGTCCTGTTTCTCTGACTGTAACTGGCTGGATGTGCTCTCTTCATCCTCTGATGTGGAACTGGCTCAGAGCCCGTCTCCCTGGCTGTGTATTTCCTAGACGGGAGCGCCTTTTATAGTTGGTTTTTGTATCTCTGCTTCTGTCTCCTTGAACTCCACTCAGCCTTGGCAGATGGCCGCTCACACTGATCCTGGTTGTGCTGGAGGTTTCTTCCTGCTAAAAGGGAGTTTTTCCTCTCCACCATCGCTACAAGCATGCGTGTAGTGTGAGTGATTGCCTTCGAGTCAATGAGTCGATGCAATCAACTGGTTTTTCTTAGATAGAAAACTTTGAATCATTTTGACTATATGATCTGGTTGAACTATTTCTATAATTGTTTTCTTTTATAGAGTAGCCCAACAAAAGCCTTTTTATGGGCTACTCTACAAAAGCATGGAGCTCAACGCTACTCCAGACATTTTGAATTAGGACAGCCCTCTGGATAGGAAGCGAAACATCTTTAAACTTGGAAAACAAAGTTCAGTGGTTTTTAACTTTCTTTGGAATGACTATGACTTGAATGACTGAGAATCTTTACCAGAACATGGAGGGAAAATGTTCAAGGCTACCAAAGAGTTGAGACGGGGCTGGAGATTCACGCCCCAGCTGGAAAACCTTCCTAGAAATACAACCAGAGCTTGGATTCAGATTCAGTTCAAAGCAGATTTATGTGTTAGAATGGCCTAGTCAAAGTCCAGCCCTAAATCCAGCTGACTGTGTCTCAGCTATTTTGCAAAAATTAAAAGCTGGAGGAGTTGCACAGCCGGGAAGACTTAAACTGTTTTATAAAAGCATGCAGTACTCTTCACATTTTTATTTGAAAGTATTTTTTAAAAGCTTGGAGAATTAAACACGGAAGGACTTTGTTTTGGTCTTTCTCATGACATCCCAGTTAAATATAACTTGTGGCTGCAATATGAAAAAAATGCATCAAAGGCAAATTTTGCAAAGAATAAATTATTGGAGAGTTGACAGTAATAAAAAAATGAACTCTTAGTGAAAAAAAAAACCCATTAACAAGAACATGATCGAAATGCAAACTAAAGTTTGACTTTAAAAGATGTTTCTGGTCTCTGAAATGTCTAAAATAGGTATACAGGGCTTAAGAAGTGCCAAGCTTGGTGCAAACACAGAGCTCTTTTGCAGGACTGCTTGTTTCTGTACATGCAGAACGATGAATCCCAATCAGTCCACCCTGCTCTGGTGGATTAATGAGCATCACAAGGTGCACAGCGTCCATGGAGGGGACACGTGAGCTCACGTTATGTCACCCTGGAACCGGTAAAAGATATGATCTCTGCTAGAGAGGGAACCGCAGGTGATCATGTGAATACACAGTGGTTTAAAAAAGGTCAGAGAAGATTTAAAATCAGGATTTCATCTTTCTCTGACATATAAAGAGCAAAGAGACGTCCGCTGAGGACTGAGGGGCCATGGTTTTATTACTACCGACAACAGCAGCTGTATTTCTTTCTAGTGTGTATTTGATGTAGGAAAATATTTGGACATTTAGGTTTATATTATTCCAGCCTTAATTTTCTCTGTTTTCCTTCCAAGCAGCCAGTTTGTTTAGAGATCTAAACAAAGCTAAAAGCTTCTGCTTAAAAAAGGTTCTTTCCTTATCGATTTCATGTGTTTAAACACAACGTTGTTTCATTAAGGAGGAGCAACCATTGCTGAAGTGTTTCTGATAACTTATATCATTAAAGGTGACTTTGTTTGGTGCAGGAGCAGGGATTCATGTATGAATCAACATCCATCCATCCATCCATCCATTTTCTGTCATGCTTATCCCAGCTGGGGTCATGAGGGGTGCTGGTGCCTATCTCCAGCTGACAATGGGCGAGAGGCAGGATACACGCTGTCCAGGTCGCCAGTCTATCACAGGGCAAATGAATCAACATGATTCAGAAAAAAAATTGCCACTGGATCCATTCCTCTGAAACCAGAATGATCCAGAGTCTTGGATTTTTCCCAATTTCTTGGCTTGCCTCTCATCATCCAGAAACAATGACCACTGACAACATTTCCTGCAACTTAGGGAGAAGTGAGCAGGTCTAGAAGATTAATGCAGTGATGATCAATACATGGGTCCCCAATCCTTCTTCTCTTGGACAACCAATCTGCACCTTTTACCAGTTCACCTCGATCAAAGGAAGGCATTAGTTAATTCAGTTATGTAGAAACAGAATCTGAAACACTGAAGACAACGGGCCGTGAGAACCACTGGACCCTAATGAATAAAGGAATATTTTTCTTAAACTGACAGAAAATAAGACAATTAAGATCCTTATAAAACAGAGCAACAAGGATCAAGATCACTTCAGAGAAGTAAAGGAGAGTCTGGCTCCTTAAAAGACAAATAAGATATTAAATTTCCCT